GTACTTGGCTGGGGAACACACTGGCAAAATTTCAACCTCAAAGCTTGCGTGGTTGGCGAGTTGAAAGACCCGGACGGACGAACACACACAAACATACACACACATACACACACACACACACACACACACACACTGAAAGGGTCGTTGCAAGATGCGTTTTTACTGCCTGTTGAAGCGCTCTAGCGCTGCACGGCAAAAACGCATAAAAATGTTCACTACTTTGCTGCTTGGTATGTGCAGAAATCGTCGGAACGTAATGATAGATCGAAAATTATATTTTTACGTGTGTCAGATCTAGGCGCATGTGGAAACTGAGTCTGAAATTTATGAAGTTGCACATGAACACGAAACATCCTCTTGAAATCTTAAATGCTCGGGTCTGGTCCCAGGATCGGGAAATTTTTTCGCCAAAGTGCACACACCTTCACGTGAAGTGTACACGAATGTGGAAGCAAAATCCAAAATTTTGTGTCGCATATATACAACCAATATCCTCATACGTTCACGCAACATCCTTCTTAATTGTAGCTTCCTAGCTTTTGTGGTTCCCAATTTATCAATTTTGGCGTTAAATCTTTGCAATGACCGCACATAATAATTCAGGATATGTGAAGGCTGAGTATGAATTTAAGGACCAAACGTGTGCGGGAGACATTCTCCTAGAATTTCAGTTTCCTAGCTTTTGTGGTTCTCAAGTCGAAAAGTAAGAATATTCTGCATTTAAGTGCACACACACACACACACACACACACACACACACAAACAAACAAACAAGCAAACAAAACGCATAGAAACTAAGCTAATCAAAGCATTAAAGTATATTGTATTTAAGTAGAACAGTGTCTAAAACTAATCAAAAGGAGCTAAACCCATTGTTTCCGGCTTAAATTCTTCTAAACTCTTTAATACAAAAGCAATTTTATCAGCGCATTCTTCCGGCGGTTTTGCGTAACGCAAGTCTGGTACCATTACAACGTGCATACCAGCTGCTACAGCAGCGCGAACACCATTTGTGGAGTCTTCAAAAACCAAAACATTTGCTACACTTTCTGGTTTTACTTGAAATCGACGCATTGTTTCTAGAAAACCATCGGGCGCCGGTTTTCCTCTTTTTACCCCTGGATCATCACCGGTTAATACCTGCAAATTGGATACGCGAATAGATATAAGTAAGCGGTATAATTTGTAAACCCATCTGTATCTGCATTCTATTACTGGTGGTGGCATTTGTGAGCTGGTCCGAATGACACCACGTGCTATAGCAACCAACCACTGGTCGACAATCCTCTTCTTTTTTCGACTGTTGATTACAAGAAAACTGACAGCGGGACTGTCGAAAAGTAAAAGTGAAATCACTGGATCTGAAATCTTTCGCACAATTTTCCATGTAGGAGTGATCAAAAATGAGCAAAGTCTTACGCGCAAAGTAATCAGATCGGACAACTCCTTCTGATTTCTCATCTTCGCTTCAAATTCAAACGTATCCGATCCACTGCACATTGCCATTGGAATTTCGTATTTCGCGAGGTGCTGCACTAGTTGCATCGCGCCTGCTAATGGCTTGCTCTCCGGCAGATGTTTGGCTAACAAATTTTTATACTGCTTTTTGTATTCCTCCACAGTGACTGCATCAGTAAGACCTTCCTGTAAAATGTCAAGGTCCGCTTGTAGAATTCATGAATACTGGCGATTTAATTCATAGTCTGCATCTTTATTCACGCAGCCGGTAAATTCCGCACATTACGACCTGAGCTTTCTGCACCCAGATAAATTCCTTTCGGTTTTTGCCTGCCCTCATCTTTCCTGACTCCTCCATTTAGAGCAAACCATACTCTACAGTGGCCAGATAAACTAAATAAAAACATCCGTGCTTATTAAAGCAACTATCTCTACACTTACAAGAATGCAAACAGGACGAATGAATAAAGCAAAAAAAAAAAAAACGCCCGAAACTGATGCACATGAAGAAAAAGTCGGCGGTGCTAAGCTACCAGTGGCATGCACATGTATGTATGTGTGAGTCTCGCTGGAAATGTAGCAAGTAATAAATGTGAAAAACATGGGAACACAAATGCATCAATGGCTAATGCATTGAATTCATTAAAACAGTCGCATGTGAGGCAGCCCGCAATGTTAGCTTAGCAGAGATGCATGCGCATGCCAATGTGACTATGTAAAGATTGCCGAAAGCAATAAATGCATCTACGAAAACTTTTCCTATTTCATTCAAAAGTTGCACAGATACATACAAACAGTCATACACAACTGCGCAAGAGATGCGAAAATTATCAAATATTACCGAATTCGGACAGGCAATCGCTAGGATTTACCTGTGTCAAAAGGGAAATTTTCACTTACGTGCTGAAGCATCACTCGTACAGCATCCTCCATCTTCATTCCAGTCGTTTTCGCTTTCAGCTCCATGCTATACTCGCGACCGTAGCTCTTCATCATTTCTGTGTTAACCATCGTATAGATTGTCTCGGTATCAAGCAGCAGTCCATCTAAGTCAAATATTACATGCGTAATTTGTGGACTCGTAACAACCATCTTCGGCCCGAAATTTCCCTCCTGACAATCAAATATGCATCGCTAAACAACACAGTATGAAAGCAACGCATTCAACACGCCCAGAACAACATCTGAAAATACGCGAATACTGCTAAGAGGCTCGGACAACCGAAGTGCACATCTTACTAGTAATATGACTAGGGCAATCGCACATGCGCAACGCAACTCATACGGAACAAATCCGAAATCTGTGGATGAATGCAGCCCAGCAGCAAAACATCGGACCGCTGCTCAAAATTTCTGGATTGCACATTTCAGCTTCGATTTTCGTTAAGTGAAAACGAAACGGACGTCAATTGACTGCCAGCAGGCTGAACACCAATCGATGAAGCAAAGCAACTGGAAAAGTTACCCACTATATCGGCCAAGAACCACACTACGAATCAACAGCATCTCCGGGCATTTTACGAGAGTCCCCTCGACGCAATTCCGTTACTAAAACTACACTCGGCCCAGCCCGTCCACGTAATGAGCAGTCAGTTTTTGGCTTCGGATTCGAGCTGCGAAGACAGCAAAAGTGGATTTCTTGTCCGGGACGTGTAGCAATCAAGGCCGTTAATTTCCCCGTTCCCCTCAGCATCAATCTTAATGCCAACGCACGGGCTGCCCGTGCGAAGATGCGTTTTTCGCATAGCTCCCCCCAGATTTTAGTCGCCAATGGCACTGCTTTTTTTCGGCAGATGCTTCTAGCTAAAAGTCAGACTGGCCGCCAGGACTGTCAGGAAATATCCCTTCAAAGTTGCAGTTTTCTAGCTTCTCAGGTTCCCCAGTTAGCAACCTACCCGAAAAAAACTTTCACAGGCCTATACGTGGGAATGACTCATACCCAGACACTAGGTTTGAGTTCATTAATATCTACGTGAATGGGGAACATTCCCTTAAAATTACAGCCTTCTAACTTTTCAGGTTCCCCAGTTAGCGACTTACCCGAAAAAAAATTTCACGGGCCCGCACGTGGGTACACTGCACCGCACACCCGAGGGCTGAGTTTGAACTCATTAATACCTAATTGGACGGGGAGCATCTAGCTTTTCAAACTCTCGAGTTAGCGACTTACCCGAAAAAAATTTTGGCGGGCCTGTGCGTAGACACCACGCGTACCCGAGAGCTGTGTTTGAGCTCGTTGAGATTTACGTGGACAGGAAACATTCCCTTAAAGTTACAGCCTTCTAACTTTTCAGTTTCCCGAGCTGGCAACTTA